CCTCTTATGACAAGCATAGTCGCCTTTTACGGCAAGCATGGGCTGCTGAAGACCTACTCTACCCTGGATCTTCACAGGTCTTGAATACATAGAGTATCAAAGGCAGACCCATGCATCCTTTGAAATTTGTTGTTGTTTTGAACTAGGCCAGGGGACTAGTGTATACCTGTGAAGCTAGTCCTGCTTAAACAAGTAAAAAATGTTTACTGTGTTTTCATTTTATATCTGTTTTATGCAGTTACAATGTATAGCAAAATGGCAGGGCTGTGAACTGGTTCAGAATTCTAGCCCTCAAATGCTTCTTGTCAATGAGAACTACCATCATTGGATTTTACCTTCTTCTCAGCACAATTTTGTAGTCTCAGGCCAGCGGACTAGCGTGCGTGAATTTCAAAGGCTGACCAAGGGTCCACACAACACAAGTCACATAGTGATTTAATACTTCTTAAGGGGGCATGGGTGGCCCAGTCGTCTTAGGCGCCGCAATTCTCTGTGCAGGGTTGCATCCCTTGGGCACGCCAGAAACCTATGATTGTGGGTTCGAATCCCGGTTCGCCCCGATTATGTTTCTAGGTTTGGCAGCATCCATACCCGTGCTTGTGGGTTTCACCAAAGTGGGAAACGTCTGAGACCTGCATCACTTCGGGCTTTCCTCCCACATTAAGCTGACATGCTGTGATATGACTGGAATACTGTTAAAAGCGGCGTTAATAACACAACTCACTCACTAATACTCCTGAAATAGGGTGAGAGGGTGAATTTGGTTAATCATCTCTTTGAACAGTATTCCAGTTGTATCACTGTATGTCAGTCTGATGTGGGAGGAAACACTGAAGTGATGGAAGTCATATGAAAAGACATTCTAAGATTTTCCTTTCCACAACTGTTGGAAAGGGAGCATCTAGATGTACACTAAACACATGAGTCAGTGAATGAGTGAGGGAGATGAGTTTAACTCCACCTTTAACAGTATTCCAATTATATCACGGCGTGTCAGCTTAATGCGGGAGGAAAGCCCAAGTGATGCAGGTCTCAGTCTTTAGTGAAACCCACAAGCACGGGTATGGTGCTGACAAACCTAGAACATAAACAGGGTGAATCTTGGATTCTGAAATAGGACTGTGACCAGGTACAGAAAGCCCCAGCAGCCTCTCCCCATCTCTTCGACTGGGAACACAGGTTAAGGAACCCCATTGGAAGTATGCTTTGTTTGTCTAATTCCAAAGTGTGATTGCTTTTTTAAAAACAAATACCAGCAAAGCAAGCTTGCATAGGCATTTCTGCCAAAATAAATTGTGTCGTAATGTGTAGAACAATATAATGATGAGCTATGTGAAGTCAGCCACTTCATGATTTACACGGCTGTCAGGCTGTTATTGAAGATGCATGTTTTGCAAGTTATTCATTTATATCATGATTCATGCAACCCTTTTATCACGTTGAAAGCCAAAAGGGATATTATTAAAAACCTAATGTTCACTTTTCACCAAAATGGGAATTCATATTGAACAATAAATCATTTACCAACTAAATTTCAAATTCACTTTGATACTAAATTATAATGATAATATCAAGCATATTGACAATTTTGAACTAAAACAATCTCAAGAATCACATTTTTATATTTTGCCTAAATACTTTTTTTCTGCTGAATATGCGATATATGTGCCGATTATCAAGATAAATAACAGAAGCATGACTCCTTGTCAGAACAAGCAGTCAATAAATCTTGAAGAAGGTTGATGAATTACCGATAAGAATGCTCAAATTGAATTCTATTTTATTGACATTGACAATTTTGCATCTAAGGATAAATTTAAACATTTATATGCCCCCGGATATAGTCGATGCCTTGTCTGTCCGTCTGTCCGTAAAACCATACTCACTCACTCACTCACTCACTCAAGGGCTGAAGGGGTGCCTTTTGCTATTTAGGAATTTAAAAAAAAAAGATATCCTGTTTCCATGGCATCAAGTTTGACTTTGACTTTGTTCTTAGTGGTGTGTCTGTCCAGACCATATCTCTAAATTTTTCTTAAAACTGTGCACACACAAAGACCAGGCTGTCAACTGCTGCCTTTTACTATTTATGAATTTTAGAATTTATGTTTTTTCTGTTTCCATGGCAACACTTTGACTCTGTTCATAGTGGTGTGTTCCTGACATCGAAATACAAAGTTCCGAATCCCAGTTCTATAGTATTGTTTTGATAGTTCAATAACTACTCTTGTATACGGACAGACGGATTAGATAGAAATTCTCTCATCAAGTTAGACTTAAAGCTACAGTCATTTGTTCTTTCGATTTTTGTGGGGCCGGGGAGATTTGTCATCTTCTGATGAAGCTTATTTTCACAGTGTATCCCTCCGTCATCAGCAGTTTAATCATACTGAAAATAAATTTTCTATGTTCTATTGTACTTTCAAATGGATAATAGACTTTGAAATAACTCTCTGTGAAGTGTATGTGTACCTAAAGTTGACAAAGAAATAATGACAATACATGTATATAAGCTTCTCCTTTGATGAACAGCTATATTAGCATCAGAGTGACAATCAGAACAAAGTACATGGTTATTCAGTGGATGGCTGTACTGAACTTGTTGTTAAGTGGCCATAGTTCTGAAAATTGTTGTAAAGCAAATTATAGTACCATTGATAGCTGCTCAGTAAATTATTACCTGTGTCATGCTATATTTCAATCAGCTTGCCCATTCAGACACAGCATAAACCATTTCAGTTCGACTGATAATCACTATGATCCTGTGTGTATATGAAATGCATTGGAAGCATTTAGAGGCTTAATTTTGTCATAAACTGTGTCAACCTGTCCATCAAATGAAGAATTTGGAATATATGCAGGGATTAGATTGTTTGCTATTATTTTTATCAGCGCTTTGGTTGAGATTACTGTGTCATGGCTTGTAGTCAGAAACCATCTGTCCGAGCAGAAGGTTACAGGGTCATTGGATGTGACTTTTGCTGGTACAATAGCATTGTTGTTGGTGTAGTTGCAGGTTCCCGCATTGTTGCTGGTGTAGTTGCAGGTTGTTGCATTGTTGTTGATGTAGTTGCAGGTTGCTGCATTGTTGTTGGTGTAGTTGCAGGTTGTTACATTGTTACTGGTTTAGTTGCAGGTTGCTGCATTGTTGTTGGTGTAGTTGCAGGTTGTTACATTGTGCTGGTGTAGTTGCAGGTTGTTACATTGTGCTGGTGTAGTTACAGGTTGGTACATTGTGCTGGTGTAGTTGCAGGTTGCTGCATTGTGCTGGTGTAGTTGCAGGTTGTTACATTGTTACTGGTTTAGTTGCAGGTTGCTGCATTGTGCTGGTGTAGTTGCAGGTTGTTACATTGTGCTGGTGTAGTTGCAGGTTGTTACATTGTGCTGGTGTAGTTGCAGGTTGCTGCATTGTGCTGGTGTAGTTGCAGGTTGCTGTATTGTGCTGGTGTAGTTGCAGGTTGTTACATTGTTACTGGTTTAGTTGCAGGTTGCTGCATTGTTGTTGGTTTAGTTGCAGGTTGCTGCATTGTTGTTGGTGTAGTTGCAGGTTGCTGTATTGTGCTGGTGTAGTTGCAGGTTGTTACATTGTTACTGGTTTAGTTGCAGGTTGCTGCATTGTTGTTGGTGTAGTTGCAGGTTGCTGCATTGTGCTGGTGTAGTTGCAGGTTGCTGCATTGTTGTTGGTGTAGTTGCAGGTTGTTACATTGTTGCTGGTGTAGTTGCAGGTTGCTGCATTGTTACTGGTTTAGTTGCAGGTTGCTGCATTGTTGTTGGTGTAGTTGCAGGTTGCTGCATTGTGCTGGTGTAGTTGTAGCTTGTTACATTGTTACTGGTTTAGTTGCAGGTTGCTGCATTGTTGTTGGTGTAGTTGCAGGTTGCTGCATTGTGCTGGTGTAGTTGCAGGTTGTTACATTGTTACTGGTTTAGTTGCAGGTTGCTGCATTGTTGTTGGTGTAGTTGCAGGTTGTTACATTGTTGGTGTAGTTGCAGGTTCCCGCATTGTTGCTGGTGTAGTTGCAGGTTGTTACATTGTTACTGGTTTAGTTGCAGGTTGCTGCATTGTTGGTGTAGTTGCAGGTTCCCGCATTGTTGCTGGTGTAGTTGCAGGTTGTTACATTGTTACTGGTTTAGTTGCAGGTTGCTGCATTGTTACTGGTTTAGTTGCAGGTTGCTGCATTGTTGTTGGTGTAGTTGCAGGTTGCTGCATTGTTGCAGGTTGTTACATTGTTGCTGGTTTAGTTGCAGGTTGCTGCATTGTGCTGGTGTAGTTGCAGGTTCCCGCATTGTTGCTGGTGTAGTTGCAGGTTTTTACATTGTTACTGGTTTAGTTGCAGGTTGCTGCATTGTTGTTTGTGTAGTTGCAGGTTGCTGCATTGTTGCAGGTTGTTACATTGTTGCTGGTGTAGATGCAGGTTGTTACATTGTTGCTGGTGTAGTTGCAGGTTGTTACATTGTTGCAGGTCTAGTTGCAGGTTGCTGTATTGTTGCTGGTGCAGTTGCAGGTTGCTGTATTGTTGTTGGTGTAGTTGCAGGTTGCTGCATTGTTGGTGTAGTTGCAGGTTCCCGCATTGTTGCTGGTGTAGTTGCAGGTTGTAACATTGTTACTGGTTTAGTTGCAGGTTGCTGCATTGTTGTTGGTGTAGTTGCAGGTTGCTGCATTGTTGCAGGTTGTTACATTGTTGCTGGTGTAGTTGCAGGTTGTTACATTGTGCTGGTGTAGTTGCAGGTTGCTGCATTGTTGCAGGTTGTTACATTGTTGCTGGTGTAGTTGCAGGTTGTTACATTGTTACTGGTTTAGTTGCAGGTTGCTGCATTGTGCTGGTGTAGTTGCAGGTTGTTACATTGTTACTGGTTTAGTTGCAGGTTGCTGCATTGTGCTGGTGTAGTTGCAGGTTGCTGCATTGTTGCAGGTTGTTACATTGTTGCTGGTGTAGTTGCAGGTTGCTGCATTGTTGCAGGTTGTTACATTGTTGCTGGTGTAGTTGCAGGTTGTTACATTGTTACTGGTTTAGTTGCAGGTTGCTGCATTGTTGTTTGTGTAGTTGCAGGTTGCTGCATTGTTGCTGGTGTAGTTGCAGGTTGCTGCATTGTGCTGGTGTAGTTGCAGGTTGCTGTATTGTTGCTGGTGTAGTTGCAGGTTGCTGCATTGTTACTGGTTTAGTTGCAGGTTGCTGCATTGTTGTTGGTGTAGTTGCAGGTTGCTGCATTGTTGCAGGTTGCTGCATTGTTGCTGGTGTAGTTGCAGGTTGTTACATTGTGCTGGTGTAGTTGCAGGTTGCTGCATTGTTGCAGGTTGTTACATTGTTGCTGGTGTAGTTGCAGGTTGTTACATTGTTACTGGTTTAGTTGCAGGTTGCTGCATTGTTGTTTGTGTAGTTGCAGGTTGCTGCATTGTTGCAGGTTGCTGCATTGTTACAGGTTGCTGTATGGTTGGTGTAGTTGCAGGTTGTTACATTGTGCTGGTGTAGTTGCAGGTTGTTACATTGTTGCAGGTCTAGTTGCAGGTTGTTACATTGTTGCAGGTTGCTGTATTGTTGTTGGTGTAGTTGCAGGTTGCTGCATTGTTGTTGGTGTAGTTACAGGTTGCTGCATTGTTGCTGGTGTAGTTGCAGGTTGCTGCATTGTTGCAGGTTGTTACATTGTTGCTGGTGTAGTTGCAGGTTGTTACATTGTTGCTGGTGTAGTTGCAGGTTGCTGCATTGTTGCAGGTTGTTACATTGTTGCTGGTGTAGTTACAGGTTGCTGTATTGTTGCTGGTGCAGTTGCAGGTTGCTGTATTGTTGTTGGTGTAGTTGCAGGTTGCTGTATTGTTGGTGTAGTTGCAGGTTGCTGTATTGTTGGTGTAGTTGCAGGTTGCTGTATTGTTGGTGTAGTTACAGGTTGCTGTATTGTTGCTGGTGTAGTTGCAGGTTGCTGCATTGTTGGTGTAGTTGCAGGTTCCGGCATTGTTGCTGGTGTAGTTGCAGGTTGTTACATTGTTACTGGTTTAGTTGCAGGTTGCTGCATTGTTGTTGGTGTAGTTGCAAGTTGCTGTATTGTTGTTGGTGTAGTTGCAGGTTGCTGCATTGTTGTTGGTGTAGTTGCAGGTTGCTGCATTGTTGCTGGTGTAGTTGCAGGTTGTTACATTGTTACTGGTTTAGTTGCAGGTTGCTGCATTGTTGTTGGTGTAGTTGCAGGTTCCGGCATTGTTGCTGGTGTAGTTGCAGGTTGCTGCATTGTTGCTGGTGTAGTTGCAGGTTGTTACATTGTTACTGGTTTAGTTGCAGGTTGCTGCATTGTTGTTGGTGTAGTTGCAGGTTGCTGCATTGTTGCTGGTGTAGTTGCAGGTTGTTACATTGTTACTGGTTTAGTTGCAGGTTGCTGCATTGTTGTTGGTGTAGTTGCAGGTTGTTGCATTGTTGCAGGTTGTTACATTGTTGCTGGTGTAGTTGCAGGTTGCTGCATTGTGCTGGTGTAGTTGCAGGTTGTTACATTGTTGCAGGTCTAGTTGCAGGTTGTTACATTGTTGCAGGTTGCTGTATTGTTGTTGGTGTAGTTGCAGGTTGCTGCATTGTTGTTGGTGTAGTTGCAGGTTGCTGCATTGTTGCTGGTGTAGTTGCAGGTTGTTACATTGTTGCTGGTGTAGTTGCAGGTTGTTACATTGTGCTGGTGTAGTTGCAGGTTGTTACATTGTTGCAGGTCTAGTTGCAGGTTGTTACATTGTTGCAGGTTGCTGTATTGTTGTTGGTGTAGTTGCAGGTTGCTGCATTGTTGTTGGTGTAGTTGCAGGTTGCTGCATTGTTGCTGGTGTAGTTGAAGGTTGCTGCATTGTTGCTGGTGTAGTTGCAGGTTGCTGCATTGTTGCTGGTGTAGTTGAAGGTTGCTGCATTGTTGCTGGTGTAGTTGCAGGTTGCTGCATTGTTGCTGGTGTAGTTGCAGGTTGTTGCATTGTTACTGGTGTAGTTGCAGGTTGTTGCATTGTTGTTGGTGTAGATCCAGGTTGCTGCATTGTTGTTGGTGTAGATCCAGGTTGTTGCATTGTTGGTGTAGATCCAGGTTGCTGCATTGTTGCTGGTGTAGTTGCAGGTTGCTGCATTGTTGCTGGTGTAGTTGCAGGTTGCTGGATTGTTGGTGTAGATCCAGGTTGCTGCATTGTTGCTGGTGTAGTTGCAGGTTGTTGCATTGTTGCTGGTGTAGTTGCAGGTTGCTGGATTGTTGGTGTAGATCCAGGTTGCTGCATTGTTGTTGGTGTAGTTGCAGGTTGCTGTATGGTTGGTGTAGTTGCAGGTTGTTACATTGTTGCTGGTGTAGTTGCAGGTTGCTGCATTGTTGCTGGTGTAGTTGCAGGTTGCTGCATTGTTGCTGGTGTAGTTGCAGGTTGCTGGATTGTTGGTGTAGATCCAGTTTGCTGCATTGTTGTTGGTGTAGTTGCAGGTTGCTGTATGGTTGGTGTAGTTACAGGTTGTTACATTGTTGCTGGTGTAGTTGCAGGTTGTTACATTGTTGCAGGTCTAGTTGCAGGTTGCTGTATTGTTGCTGGTGTAGTTGCAGGTTGCTGTATTGTTGTTGGTGTAGTTGCAGGTTGCTGCATTGTTGTTGGTGTAGTTGCAGGTTGTTACGTTGTTGTTGGTGTAGTTGCAGGTTGCTGCATGGTTGCTGGTGTAGTTGCAGGTTGTTGCATTGTTGTTGGTGTAGTTGCAGGTTGCTGTATTTTTGCTGGTGTAGTTGCAGGTTGTTACGTTGTTGCTGGTGTAGTTGCAGGTTGCTGCATTGTTGCTGGTGTAGTTGCAGGTTGTTGCATTGTTGTTAGTGTAGTTACAGGTTGCTGCATTGTTGTTGGTGTAGTTGCAGGTTGCTGTATTGTTGCTGGTGTAGTTGCAGGTTGCTGTGTTGCTGCTGGCGTAGTTGGAACACATCCAATCAGAATTCTCAGATTGTGAAAAGTTCTGGTTAGTGGTGGAGGATGAAGAAACATGTATAGATGAAGAACAAACAACAAATTTGAAATTCCTGTTTTTCCTGGTTTGTTTTATTGCATAACATGTATTTAAATTCTCGATGCTTCAAGAGCCTTCTACTATTATGAACACACTCCTCACTCTCAGTCATCAGTGTCCCTGTGTTAGATTCAACATGCCAACCAATTATTAACTTCCCAATAACTGGGCTGCTCCGGCAGGCATTATCTGAACACCTCTCTGTCCTTACACAGACATTGTATCAACACCCTTGTGTTGTCCCACATGCACATCTGAACACCTCTCTGTTGTTAATGGACATTATCAGCGGTAGAAACTAACATTGTTGGTCCACAAGTCCTTATAATGATAACATGTAGCAAAACCCTTAAAAATGGCAAATTTCTACTAGTCCTTATGATACCTTAACTATTGGTCAGTTTGGCAAGGACTACAGGGCTAGTGCCAATTTCTAGCGCTGATTATCTGAACACCTCTTTCCTCTGACACATGCATTAGGAACAGGTCATTTATTGCAGGGGTGGGTTGGTCAGAGTTTGTTTTATGCATCAATATACTGAAAATAATGACCCCCATATATCATGATCAACCCTCCCCATGTCCTTGTACATTTGTTCATGACCCTGAAAAGACAAAATGCAAAAGCACTTTCTATTTTATTATAAATGTCCATTTTTTCATGACTCTCCCCAAATACGTGTATTCATCTTTTATGACCTCCCCTAGAGACAGTCATATTTTAATCACCCTCCCCTGATTCCCTCTGACCCACCCACCCCTAAAATCAGTGACCACTCCCTAAAATATCTGACCATCTCTGCTGTGACAACAATCACATTAAAATCAGATCTTAGTTCTCGCAACCGCTAAACAAGGACCTGAGGACACCCCATTACGGGTCATGTCAGAACGACCTTTCATCCAACCAATCAGAGCGTCGCTTACCAGATCATGAAAGTGACAGTCAGAATGTGTTTTCTAATCATGAAGCCTCGAAATATTTAACAGAGGGTATTCCAAACAACAGTTACAGGTTTTATGATTATACCCATCCTAGGCCATCTATTAGCCATTCCAGGATGTTCTTTTGATCAGTTTTAAAATCTTTAATGGAGAATATGTCAAAATATATTTCAAAACGTAGTTGCCAGTTTGAAACTAGTGATTGATTAATGTCGATTTCTTGTCAGTCATTTCATTGGTCGGTCAAAGTTCGCAAAAGGTCGTTCTGACGTGACCTGTAATGGGATGTTGTCAGATCTTTGTTTGGCGGTAGGGAAAACTAAGATCTGATGTTAATGAGATTGCTGTGACAAGGACATTATGTGAACACCTCTGAACTATGGTAAAAGGCATCATGCATCTCAACCCTTATATCAGTCAGCACACCAGTGAATTCAAGCATGTAGCTATAACCAAACACAAATGTAAACTCAGTCATTTTGAATTAGACAGATCGAAATACTAATTTGTGCTACCTTCTGAATTTTTCAATACTAATGATCGCTCAATATCTGGTATTATTTTCCATAATACAATGAAAAAAGTCTGTTACCCAAAACACCTGTGGCATTTTATTTCAAAGCTTTGTATAATTACTCTCAGCAGCTTGACTGTTTTCACACAGCATGCATGACCTGGTGTGTAGATGCATCTGCAAAATCAGGAGATATGTGATCGTCCGTGTCTTGTGTGATGATATATACTGCTTCACTATCAGATGCCAGGGCAAGGGTGGCCCAGTCAACTAAGGTGCTGCAATTCGCTGTGCAGAGTTGCATCCCTTTAGCACCCAGAAACCTATGATGGGTTCGATTCCCGGTTCGCCCCGATTATGTTTCTGGGTTTGTCAGCACCATACCAGTCATGGGTTTCATCGAAGTGGTAAACGTCTGAGACGTGCATCACTTCAGGCTTTTCTCCCACATTAAGCTGACACGCTGTGATATGACTTGAATACTGTTAAAAGCATGGTTAACCCAACTCACTCACTCACTCACTCACTACTATGTTGGATGCAAGGGCATCGGTGGCCCAGAGTTGCATCCCTTAGAAAACTCTGATCGTGGATTCGTTTCCCAGATATACATTTGTGTTTCTCGATTTTGTCAACACCATACCCATGCTCGTGGGTTTCACCAAAAGATGAAAACATCTATCACCTGCATCATTTCAAGCTTTCATGACATGACAAGCTGACACATGAATAACTGAATACAGTTCAAAGCAGGGTTCCATCCAAGGCACACACTCATTAATAGCCTATGCACTGTCATATACTGCAATATGTTTTATGATATTTCTCACTTGGCTAGCTGGCTGGACTTGCCTTTGTATATATATCTAGAATTGTTTTGTTTTCATAAAATATATATATTTCACAGTGTTGGTGCAGGACTGAAGTTGTTGTATTGATTATTTATTATAGAGTGCACATTTTTATATCAGCACCAATATGTTTAAATATAGGAGGAGTTGCCTTTGAAGATCCAGGTCTTGAAGTCTTGCGCGACCATGCTTGTCATAACAGGCAACTGTGTTGTTGTAAGTGGCAACTAACGGGATCAGGTGGTCAGGTGGTATCCCAATTGCATAGATTGATGCTCATGATGTCAATCACTGGATTATCTTCTCCAGACTTGGTTATTTACAGACCGCTGTCAAAAAGTGGAATATTGCTGAGTGCAGCATTAAGCAACAAAAAACGAGCTAATATTTCTATTGAAGTTCTCGTATGTTTATCATCGTACATTATTTCTCCCTGTTGTCACTGTTCGTCTGTTATTAGTGAAATTTGATCATTGTTTTGAATTGAGATATGTTTTAGATTTTATGCTAAATATTTGCTTTGAAACTGAATGGTTAATCGATATGAATTACGAAGAGCAATACAACCTAGAAATAGCATACCTCCTGAGTTAAAACAGCTGATCTGTGTCAGCGGAATGCGCACTCAGTGACCTCTTACATCAGGCTCAGTACAGATATTTGTCACTTTTAATATCAACAATTGTTACAGGAACAGGCTTGTATATTCTAAACATGTGTTGTTTATATTTTTGTTAGATGATGTGAGATGTATAAGAAATTGTCAATTTGCAAATATTAGTTGACCAAGAATCAAGACAAAAGAAGTAACATCGTAAATTGACACATTATGTGTTTGTGATTTGATGCCTATACCTGCATGACCAACCAGAAATATGTATTTACCCAAACTTGGTGATCTATATGGTACACATATTACACACATGTATTACATACAGATTAGACACAGATTGTAGTCCTATTACCTACGGATCACACACGGATCACACATGGATCACACACATTGCGCACATATTACACAGTATGCACATATTACCTACAGATCACACACATATTTCCTACAGATCACACACATATTATCTACAGATTACACACATCTTACACACAGTTCACACACATATTACCTACAGATCACACACATATTACCTACAGATCACGCACAGATTACACACATCTTACTCACAGATCACACACATATTACCTACAGATCACACACATATTATCTACAGATAACACACATCTTACACACAGTTCACACACATATTACCTACAGATCACACACATATTATTTACAGATTACACACATCTTACTCACAGATCACACTCATATTACCTACAGATCACACACAGATTACACACATCTTACTTACAGATTACACACATCTTACACACAGTTCACACACATCTTACTCACAGATCACACACATATTACCTACAGATCACACACAGATTACACACATCTTACTTACAGATTACACACATCTTACACACAGTTCACACACATATTACCTACAGATCACACACAGATTACACACATCTTACTTACAGATTACACACATCTTACCTATAGATCACACACAGATTACACACATCTTACTCACAGATTACACACATGTTACTTACAGATCACATACATATCACCTACAGATCACACACAGATTACACACAACTTACGGATTACACACATCTTACACACAGATCACACACATATTACCTACAGATCACACACATATTACACACATCTTATATACATTACACACATCTTACACACAGATCACAAGCATATTACCTACATCTTACACACATCTTACACACAGATCACACACAGATTACACACATATTACCTACATCTTACACACAGATTACACACATCTTACACACAGATTACACACATCTTACACACAGATCACACACATATTACCTTTTGATCACACACAGATTACACACAGATTACACA